CATAATTAACTATTCCTTCCTTGAAACCTTATTGTAACTGGCTACTTTTCATCCTCCTTTACTAAATGTTCTACTTATTCGTGTAGGAAGTTGTATCAACCAGTATCTCTTCCTCAATTACTCTAGGCAAAGATCTATATCCTTGACAACCTGCTAAATATACCTTCTTGGATATCCTACTAGCACTTCAAGAATTAAATATATTATTGTTTCCTACTTTTTTTCTGTGAAAATACTGTACAGAGTGGTTACAATTACATGGGTAAGATAATGAGTACATTTGTTATCAAGCATTGTAGCCTCCTCCTTTGTCTCCCCTTCCCATCCCATCCTCCCCTACCCCCCCCAACCCTCCTCCCCCCCCACCAAAGTTGTAAAGTTCGTTTTTGACATAACGATTTGTAGGTCTCATTGTTGCAATGGGTTCACCTGTATCCTTATTTAAACTTTGTTTTTTCCCTTCCCCTCCACAAATTATAACATCAAATACAGTGAAAGCAGGGGTTACACCGTGGGGGAGGGACATACAAAGCAACAAAGAAATAATCTTATAAATGTGTTAGAAACAATCGCATGAAGGAAAAAAAATTTGAATACATGGATCAAGAAAATGTGGTATATATACACAATGGAATTCCATCAGAAAGAATGACATTGCCCCATTTGTTAGGAAATGGAAAGACTTGGAAGAAATTATATTAAGTGAAGTAAGCCAGGCCCAAAGAAACATAGGTCCCGTGGTTTCCCTTATTTGCAATAACTAGTATATGTCTGAGTCAAGCAGAAAAGGTCAGATAAGTTGATGTTGGGGCAATGAACCCTAAGGTATGTTTCCTACTTTTCAACTCCAGCTTTTTCTCTGTCTCCTTTACTCAACTCACTTGTTCACTTCCCAATGTAGACTTAGTGGAATATAGCATCACATAGGAAGTCCATCTAGAAACCTCAAGCCTTATTCTTTTTATTTTTTGCCAGACCTGGGGCTTGAACTCAGGGCCTAGGCACTATCTCTGAGCTGCTTTTTACTGAAGACTAGCTACTCTACCACTAGAGCCATAGTGCCACTTCTGGCTTTTTCTGTTTAGGTGGTACTGAGGAATCAAACCCAGGGCAAATAAAGTCATTTGGCAAGCTCTTTTTTTTATTTTTATTTTTTTGTTGGTTATGGTGCTCTTCAGCTCAAGGTGGGCACTCTACCGCTTGAGCCCAGTGCCACTTCCCGTTTTCTAGTGGTTTATTGGAGATAAGAGTCTCACCGACTTTCCTGCCCGAGCTGGCTTTGAACTGGGATCCTCAGATCTCAACCTCCTGAGTAGCTAGGATTATTAAAAGTTATTAAAAGTTCAGTCTAGAAATACAAAAGTTCACCCCTTTCTGCCTTTCTCCTGTAGCTTCCCAGAGATGAGAGTTTGGTACAGACCCTTGAAACTTTTCTGTGCCTATATAAAACATGTTTGGTAATTACAAATGATTTATTTTTTGTTTTAAGAAAACTGCTACTTTTATACATATTATTCTGAATTTTGTTCTTTGCTTATGAATATATCCCAGTTTATTTATTTAGCCAGTGCTGATGTTTGAACTCAGGGCCTCATGCTTGCTTTGTCTTGCTTATTGGCTGGCATTCTACTTGAAAGCCTCTAGCCTGGTTTTTTTTGCTAGTTATTTTGGAGATTGAGTCTCTTGGACTTTACTGCCAGAGTTGGCTTTGAACCACGATGCTCCAGATCTCAGTCTCCAGAGTAGCTAGGATTACAGATATGAGCCACTAGTGCCTGGCATATTTGATGATTTTTTTAATTAGGAAATTGCAAAAAGAAATGTACAAACTGCCATTCCTCGGTCCTGTGTGTCTATTACTCACTTTCTCCCAATGATGACAATTTATATAGTCATAGTTCAATATCAGAACCAGGCAGTTTAAAATTGCTGTTAAAAGGATTATAGACTTTATTCCCTTTTTAACCATTTAAAAAATACTTGTTGCTGTGTGCTGATGACTCAAGCCTGTAATCCTAGCTACTTAGGAAGCTGAGATATGAGGATCATGGTTTAAAGCCAGCCTGGGCAAAAAAGTCCCCATGAGAGACTCTTAACTCCAATTAACCACTCAAAACCTGGAAGTAGTGCTGTGGCTCAAGTGTTAGAGCACTAGCCTTGAGTACAGAGAGACTCAGGGACAGTGATTAGAACCTGAGTTTAAGTCCCACAACCAACAAAAAAAATACTTGTGCGTGTGTATACATATATCTGTGAAAAAAATGTTTGTGGTGATAATTACAGCTTCAGCTCAACACCTGGGCATTGCCACTTATCTTTTTCCCTGAAGGCTACTGCTCTACCACCTACCACAGTTCCACTTCCAGCTTTTTGCTGGTTAATTAGAGAAAAGATTCTCATGGACTTTCTAGCTTGGGCTGGCTTTGAACTGTTGGATCTCAGCCTTTAGAATAGCTAGGATTATTGCATGAGCAACTGGCACTCAGCTGATGTCTATGAAAATTTATGTCAGATATAGATAGGTCTATGTAATAACCACCACCAAAATCAAGATTTAAAACTGGTTTTGACATTACTGAGGTTTGCCCTTAGGACCTCCCACTGGCTCAGCAGGCACTGCACCACTTGAGCTATACCTCCAATTTCTTGGAACTGTTCTCTATCACTACAAAAGAACTCCAAGTTCTTTGTATTTGCAATGTCCACATACCTGCAGCCAGAACTGTCATTGTTCCACCTATTTCTGTTTTCCATCTCTAGTTTTGATACTTAAGATGTTACATAAGTGGAATAATTGTGACTGTTTGAGGTTGGCCTTTTAACTTTGAGATTCATCCACATTGTTACATGTACAATGGCTCATTCTTTCTGAACTGTTGAATAATGAACAATTCATTTGTTGTATGAATATATCAAGATTTGTTTAATTGTTTACTCATTAAAGGACATGGAAATTTCTAGTATTTTGCTTTAAGTAAAGCTGCTATGAATATTCATATATAAAGATTGGTGTGAATATGTATTAATTAATCTGGTATACTTAGAAATGGTGTGTTTAGTAAAAAACTGACATCACTTCCCTAGCATAACCATTTTACCTTCTAAGTATTTTTTCATTAGTGGGGTTTGAACTCTGGGTTTCTCTCTAGAGTTACTCCTGGCTATACCATTTTATATTCTCATCAGCAGTGTATGAATAGTTCAGTGTCCTTGAAATATTTACATATAGGGCTGGGAAGGTGGCTCAGTGGTAGAGCACTTACCTTGCATGCCTGAGGCCCTGGGTTCAATTCCTCAGCACCACATAAGCAGGAAAAAAAGCCGGAAGTGGCACTGTGGCTCAAGTGGTAGAGCACTAGCCTTGAACTGAAGAGCTGAGGGACAGAGCCCAGGCCCAGAGTTCAGGCCCCACGACCGGACCCAAAAAAAAAATTTACATATATAGAATATGTAGATATATAGATTTTTTTTTTGCTGGTCCTGGGGCTTGAACTCAGGGCCTGGGTACTATCCCTGAACTTCTTTTTTCTCAAAGCTAGTGCTCTACCTCTTGAGCTACAACACCACTTCTAGCTTTTTCTGAGTAGTTTATTGGAGATAAGCGTTTCACAGACTTCCCTGCCCAGGCTGACTTCAAACTGTGATCCTGGTCTAGGAATGTGGCTTAGTGGTAGAGTGGTTGCCTAGCATGCATGAAACTCTGGGTTTGATTCCTCAGTACCACATAAACAGAAAAAGCCAGAAGTGGTGCTGTGGCTTAAGTGGTAGAGTGCTAGCCTTGAGTAAAAGGAGCTCAGGGACGGTGCCCAGGCTCTGAGTTGATGCCCCAGGACTGGCCAAAAACAACAACAACAAAGAATTAGAAAGCCAAAGCTCATCTCTATGATCTATAGACTGTACATAGTTGAATTTAGTAATTCTAGTTTTTTCAGTAATTAATTATCTGGGGTGATTTTTTTTCTTCCTGTTTAAACCTGGCACTATTTAGTGTGTGTGTGTGTGTGTGTGTGTGTATGTGTGTGTACACACCAGTACTGGGGCCTAAACTCGGGCCCTCATGTTCTTCCTTAACTTTTATTTTGTTGGTTATAGGGCTTGAATTCAGAGCCTAGCCACTATCCCTGAGCTTTATGTTCATGGCTAGTACTCTACCACATTGAGCCACAGCTCCACTTTCTGGTTTGAAGGGCATAAATTGGAGATAAGAATCTCATGGACTTTCCTGCCCAGTTTGAAGCCCAGGCTTTGAACTTCAATCCTCAGTTCTCAGCCTCCTGAGTAGCTATGATTATAGGCCTGAGCCATCAGCACCTGGCTCTTAGCTTTTTTTTCTTTTTCCTTTCTTCTTTTTTTTTGGGGGGGTCCTTAAGATTAGCTTACACTGGGGCTGGGAAGGTGGCTCAGTGGTAGAGCGCTTGCCTTGCATGCCTGAGGCCCTGGGTTCAATTCCTCAGCACCACATAAGCAAAAAGAAAAAAGCCGGAAGTGGCGCTGTGGCTCAAGTGGTAGAGTGCTAGCCTTGAGCTGAAGAGCTGAGGGACAGCGCCCAGGCCCAGAGTTCAGGCCCCACAACCGGACCCAAAAAAAAGAAAAGAAAAGAAAAAAATGTTCAGAGGAGTTATGCCTTTGGGTTCCTCTCCTAAGAGTATCTTCCTTTAGTCTGTTTGTGTGTGAATGCCTGTTGAGTCCTGTATAAGTTAATATGTCCAGTTGTACTTTAGATCTAGCTTCCACATAAGAGAAACTGTGTACCATTTGTCTCTCTGAGCTTCACTTACCTTACTTGATATGATTTGTTTTAGGTCCATCCATTTCCCTGCAAGTGACATATTATTATTCTTTTTAATGGATAAGTAACGTTCCATTATGTATATGGACTACATTGTTTTGATTTACTCATCCATTATAAGGCATCTGGGGGCTATTTGCATAACTTGGTTATGGTGAATAGTGCAGCAGTGAACATACAAATGCAAGTAATTTTTTTCCTTATTCTCCAGTATGATGAACATCTGACTCAACTTGAAAAGGATATTTGTACAGCTAAAGAAGCTGCTTTGGAGGAAGCAGACTTAGAAAGTCTGGACCCAATGACGCCAGGGCCCTACACACCTCAGGTGAGTCTAAGGACTACAAGCTTCCTCTTAGAATTTTCTTATTGGTTTGGGAATTTGGGAGCCTGTTAACAGCTATTTACTGAGATTCCGTTCTTCTCTGTCCTTCCTCTTCATATGCCTTTCGTGTGCTTTCTTGTCTTCTCAAAGGCCAAGGTGAGTGAGGTACATGGGTCTTGGTGGCCTTGCTGAATCCAAAAGTGGTAGCCATGGGATGAATGAATGGGGTGGGGGTTTTAGTTGTCTAGACAGTATTTAGGGGAATAACGAATCCTGGCTAGTATAGACAAAGGTATACTCTAGATCTCTAGTTTTCATGTCCATAAAATTTGGAGTTCTAAAACATCCCCTGAAGTATAGGCTGTTTAGTTAGACATGAGCTCCATTGGTCCTGTGCTTTATGATGCCTTATTATTCTTTCCCTGAGAGATACGTTAGTGTAGTTCCCATGCCACCTATTTTCCTGGGTAATATTTATAATGTTCTTAAATGAACATGTAAAAAGACTAGAGAGCAGGATAGATAAGAAAATTTTAGTCTTTCTGGCTAGACTCTGGTTAGACTGAGAGTATAGTATTTCATGTATTTTATACTCTTAGAATATTGGCATATTTGTTAAATAGAACTTAAAACACAGTATAATAGGTGCTTGGCTTCTCAATTGTAGACACCTGTGGTGGAGTGAAAAGTACATGAGATTTGATGTAAAACAGGCCTGGGTTTGAGTCTTAGCTCTTGTCTAGTTTGGTGATCTTGGGAAGTTAACCTCTCTAACTCGATTTCCTTTTCTTTAAAATCTGTTTTTCAAGATGGTTATAAACCTTCAACAAGTTGATTTCCCTGGCACACAATAGACATTCAGTTAATAATATTTCCTTCTCTGTTTGAAAGTTGTCTATAAAGTCCCAAGAGTCTCTCTTAAATTTAACCAAATATTTTCAATGCAAGATTCACCCTTTTCCCCTAGGAATTTTTTCCCATTCTATTCAGGTTTCACTGAACTCACAATATAATGTATGTGATCTCTGTTAGATTATTGCTGTCTCTATGTCACATTCCTATACTTTTCTCTGTCTATCTTTTCCTTTCTCTTTCATCCCAAAACCTAGGTTACTGAGGGGCCAGGTATAAAGAGCACTCAGATACTTCTTCAAGGTCCAGAACAAGGAAAGGCTCTTGGAGTGTGTGGGCAGATTGGGACAAGGGGGCTTGGGTGAATGATGTTGTCCAGGAAGGCCCTCTTTGCTAATAGGCCCACAGCTTCCACAAGGTACTTTCTGGTAAGTTAAAGCTTGGGTATGAGCCATCATTCTCCAGAAGACTTGACCAACTGAATGGCACATGGTTTACTCAGGTCGAAACCTAGTCCTTTGGTGAGTGAAAGCCTTGGGCCTGAAAGTCATCTTCCTTTCTTTCCTATACCCCTCCTGTGCTACCTCACATGGCTGAGGAAAACCGGTCAACTATTCTTCCTGAGCAGTAGCTGTTATTTGCTACACTCAGGTTTCATTTGAAGAGTAGGAGATGGATAGTACTGCTTCATTTTTCCATCATTCCCATCATTTCCTTCACTCACATATGTCTGTTTTAAAAAAGTTCGATCCCCAGTAATCACCTATTAAGCTTTAGGAAGATGCACAGGAGTAACAGTCATTACTCATCATTATCTAAAACCCACATTTTATAAAGTGCTCACTTAAGTTTCACCTATTTTAATGCAATTTTGGTTGCATAGAAACACGACAGTACCCAGGCATTGGTGGCTTATGCCTGGTAACCTAGCTATTCAGGAGGCTGAGACCTGAGACTCTCGGTTCGGTTTGAAGCCATCCAGGCAGGAAAGGCTGTGAGAGTCTTAACTCCAGTCAACTAGTCAAAAGCTGCAAGTGACAAGGTGTGGCTCAAGTGGTAAAGTACCAGCCTTGAGTGAAAAAGCCAGGTTCAAGCCCCAGTACTGGTAGAAGGAAGGAAGGAAGGAATGCAGGCATGTAATCATGTTATTTTCCATTTCTTTTTGTTGTTGTCAGTTGTGGGGTCTGAACTCTGGGCCTGGGTGCTGTCCCTCAGCTCTTCAGCTCAAGGCTAGTGTTCTACCACTTGAGCCACATCACCACTTCCAGCTTTTTCTGCTTATGTGGTGCTGAGGAATCGAACTCAGGGCCTCATGCATGCAAGGCAAGCATTCTACCACTGAGCCACCTTCCCAGCCCCGTTATTTTCCATTTCTAAATGGTGTTTTCAATAATGTGTATTCACTTGAGTATTTCCACTTACATCATGCATTCAGCTCAATACTTTACCACTGTTCACCCTGCAGTTTCCCATGGTTCTTACTTTCCTTACTGTCCTAATATTTTGCAGAAGGTTCTTCATTTTCCTTTCTGTTCTATATTGGTTTATCTGCTCTGTAATGTTGTGGATTCTGTTTTGCCTCTATTTTTCTAAAACCCCTCTTCTCAGTCTTTCTTGTCTATTTACTCCTAAAAATATAAAGTAATACTTAATTTAACTTTTTTTGTCACTGTTGTTCATTTTCTTTTTGTTTTTGCTTTTTGTCAGTGATGGGTCTTGAACTTTGGGCTAGGCGCTGTCCCTGTGCTCCTCAGCTCAAGGCTAGCACTCTTATCACTTGAGCCACAGTGCCACTTCCCACCATTGTTCATTTTAAGATGATCTTACTTTGTAGCCCAAGTTAGGCATAAACTTGTGATCCTCCTCCCTCAGTCTCCTGACTGCTGAGATTCCAGGTGTGCATCACCATACATGACTCATATCTAGGTTTTCTGTTGGTTGGGGGCAAGTAAAATACAAATAAGAAATATTATTTCTTAATTGTTCTGTCACTCAGAAAAAAGATCTCCCAGGGTGAAATTTTTGTTTTAATATCTGTGGTGTATTTTTAGATGCCTTTTTTTTCCTTTTGTGCCAATCCTGGGGCTTGAACTAGGCCTGAGCTCTGTCCCTGAGCTTTTATGCTCCAGGCTAGTGATCTTCCTCCTTGAGCCACAGCTCCGCTTCCAGCTTTTGGGTGATTAATTGAACATAAAGGTCTCACAGACTTTCCTGCCCAGCCTGGCTTCAAACTGTGGTCCTCAGATCTCAGCCTTCTGAGTAGCTAGTATTACAGGCATGAGCCATCAGCACCTGGCTATAGATCCTTTTAAAATGAAATTCATCAATATGGTTTTGTGTCTTGTTCTTTTTATGTTATGAACATTGTATCTATTCACTCTCATCACTGTATAGCCATTTACTAAATTCCTATTCTCCTTAGAGTTAAGAGGGAAGGGATCTATAATTTGTTGTGTACCAAATAATAGGTATAAATATCTCTTTATCACTATACTCTTGTGCATTAGACATCATTACCCATACTTTGCAGTGTAGGAAACCAAGAGTTAGAGAGATGAAGTAATTTGTTAAAGTTGTTCATCAAGTAAGTAGTAGAGCCAAGACTCAAACTGAGGGCAGTTTATTCCAAAGCCCATGGATTTTTCACCACACCATTTTGTTTTGTAGCACCTTCTGACAAGCTCATGAACTGTCAAGCCATTTCATGCTCTGGTTGGATTAAACTTCCTTTATTCTGTTTACTCTTCTATATAACCTTTAAATAAACAAATGAGTGCTGATAATGAAATCTTGGACCTAAAGACAGTAATACAAGACTTAGGAGAAAGTAGCTTTATAACTAGAGAAGCTGTAAAACATAAACTTGTCCCTTAGCTTCTATGTTTCTGCATTAGGCTTCTGAACACATACTCAGGGTGCCTGTTTGCTAGTATAGGCAACATTTGTAAAATTCCAAAAACTTTGCCCATAAAGCTATGCTGAACTCTTTTTCTATAACTGTATTGTTCTGCATGACCTTTTTCTACAGTGAATGGTTTGAAGGGGAATTCTCTGTTTCTTAACTTGTTCCCTTAGTAGAAGCTCAATTTCGTGTTTTATGCCATAGCCTCCTGATTTGTATGATACTACCACATCCCTCAGTATGTCTCGAGATGCCTCTGTATTTCAAGATGAGAGTAGTCTGTCTGTTCTGGATATTCCCACTGCTACACCAGAAAAGCAGGTAATACAGGTAAGTTGTTCTTTTTCTCATTGTGAGATTGTTGCTATGTCTGGAAGTTCAAAGGTAGAAAAGTGACATTTGACATACATCAAAGATGACTGGCAGCCAGGTACCAGTGCCGTATGCCTATAATCCTAGCTACTTAGGATTCTGAGATCTGAGTATCACAGTTTGAAGCCAGCCCAGAAAGGAAAGTCCATGAGACTCTTACCTCCAATTAATCACAGAAAAAAAAAAAAAACAGAAGTAGTGCTGTGACTCACATGGTAGAGTGCTAGTCTTGAGCAAAAGGAGCTCAGGGACAGTTCCCAGGCCCAGAGTTCAAGCCCCAGGACTGGAAAAAAAGATGACTGGCAGCCAGGTGCTGGTGTCTCACATTAATAATCCTAGTTACTCAGGTGGCTGAGATCTGAGGATTGCTATTCAAAGCCAGCCCAAGCAGGAATGTCCATACGACATTTATCTCCAATAAACTTAAGGGGGAAAAAAAGCTGGAGAGGATTTCTGGCTCAAGTGGTATAATGCTAGCCTTGAGCACAAAAGCTCAGGGGCAATACCCAGGCCCTGAGTTCAAGCCCAAGGAGCATCACCAAAAAAACAAAACAAATAAAAACCTTGATTAACTCCTGTAGGCACATTTGTGTTTCTTACTCAGATATACCGGGACCAATGTAGTCTGAGTGAGGAAGAATTTGATGGGGTGGGAAGTAGGCTTAGTCGTAGAGTGCTTGCCTTGCATGCATGAGGCCCTGGGTTCGATTCCTCAGCACCACATAAGCAGAAAAATCTGGAAGTGGTGCTGTGGCTCAAGTGGTAGAGCACTAGCCTTGAGCTGAAGAGCTGAGGGACAGAGACCAGGCCCAGAGTTCAGGCCCCACGACTGGCAAAAAAAAAAAAAAAAATTGATATAGATACTGCAGGGTATGATGAGCAGGAGCAAGAGGAGGATGGGAAACCTGAGATTTCATTCTAGCCCCAGTGAGTATGGTTATGTTAATGCCCTTATATGATAGGAATGCCAACAGTACAGGGCAGGCCAAATCCCAAGGTGATTTCAAAGGGTCTCCATAGTCTGACTTCAATCCTTGGAATGAGCTAAACAAGTTTCATCCACCAAAATGATTCAACTTGTGAGGCAGCAAGCTGCAAGCAATGGTATAGGGTAGGTGGACACTGACCCTTACTTGATTTCATTTAGGAAGGTGAAGATGGAAATGATGCTGTTGCAGATGAAGAAGGAACTGTGCAACAGCCTCAATCTAGTGTCCTTTATGAGGATTTGCTTATGTCTGAAGGAGAAGATGATGAGGAAGATGCTGGAACTGATGAAGAAGGCGATAACCCTTTCTCTGGTAAAGTCTTTCTACTTCACTTCTGCTTCTGTAGAGCTCAAATAGCACCCTTAGGACTGGATAAGAGGCTCTTGGCCACATATGCTATATCAAAAGCTCCCTCTTATTGAAGTCCCATTAATAAAATAGAATACTAAGCACTCAGAATGGACTTAGAGGAGGTAAAGATACACAGACAAAAAACACAAAAGATGACAGTGTAAAAGGCAGTGCCCAAGTAGCTGTTTTCACTTGGATGTTTGCTGAAGGTAAAAACAGAATGTTGTGTTTGGCAACAGGGAAGGAAAATTAAGAAAATACCTTGTTGGCTGGGTGTCAGTGGCTTTTGCCTGTAATTCTAGCTACTTGAGAGGCTGAGATATGAGGATGGTTCCAAGCCAAGCCCAATTAACCATCAAAAAGTGGGAAGTAGAGCTCTGGCTTAAGTAATAGAGAGCCATCATTGAAAGAAAAGGCTAAAACTGGGTGCCCATGACTCACGCCTGTAATCCTAGCTACACAGAAGGCTGAGATCTGAGGATCATAGTTCAAAGCCAGCCCAGGCAGGAAAGTCATAAGACTTTTTTTTTTTTTTGTCGGTTGTGGGGCTTGAACTCTGGGCCTGAGCACTGTCCCTCAGCTCAAGGCTAGTGCTCTACCACTTGAGCTACAGTACTACTTCCGGTTTTCTGGTGGTTTATTGGAGATAAGAGTTTCACAGACTTTCCTGCCTGGGCTGGCTTTGGCTTTGGACCACTATCCTCAGATGTCAGCCTCCTGAGTAGCTAGGATTACAGGTGTGAGTCACCATTGCCCAGCTAAAACTCTTATCTTCAGTTAAGGACCAAGAAAGCTGTAAGTAGAGATGTGATTCAAGTGATAGAGCACTAGCCTTGAGCAAACAAACAAAGCTCAGAGACAGTGTCCAGGCCCTGAGTTCAAGCCCTAGCACACACAGAAAAGAGACAGAGACCTCTGAGTTAAATACAGGTACAATGAATGCTTGTATAGATATATGAGAGAAACTAGTTTTGGAAGACCAAACTAAAGATGTTTCCTCATCTCCTTTCCTCTCTTTTTTCCCTCCTTTCTCTCATGTGATGTATAGTAGGCAAATACTCTACCACTAAGCCACATTCCTTCTCCATGAAGCTTATCTATTAATGAACCAGAATCTGTCTTTTTACAGCTATTCAGCTGAGTGAAAGTGGAAGTGACTCTGATGTGGGAACCAGTGGTATAAGACCCAAACAGCCCCGCATGCTTCAGGAGAACACGAGGATGGGGATGGAAAATGAAGAAAGTATGATGTCCTATGAGGGAGACGGTGGGGAGACTTCTCATGGTTTGGAAGATAGCAACATCAGGTAATCTGCAGCAACATGCTACAGGGTTGTGGCATCAGTGCCCAGCTATGATGTCAAGGGGCCTAAGCATCAAATTGCTTTCATCCATCAAACATTTTCTGAGTACCTACTAAGGCCAGGCACTGTGAGAGGCTCTGGGGATACACAGAAGAGCAAGACATGTCCTGCCTTTGAGGAGCTCTCCTAGTGAAAGAGACTGCACACGTTATTACAAATACAATGTTATGAGCTGGGTGTGGTGGTGCATACCTATAATTCAAGCACTCAGAAGGCCAAGACAGGAAAAGCAGCTTCAAGGCCAACCTGGGTTATGTAACAAGTTTAAGCCAATGTGGCCTACATAGCAAGACCCTGTCTCACCCCTACCCCCAACCCCCACAATAAAAAGCTAAAGTGTAAGTAAGTGCAAAGTGCCAGGAGAACACAGAGGCAGGATCATCTCAAGTTTCACAGACAAAGGAACATTTGAACTGGGCCTTAAAGGATGAATTCTAAGAAGATGTTATGTCAGAAGGTAAATAGGCTTTACAGATGAAATAGTAAGTTCAAAAGCATAGAACCATGACATAAAATGTGTTTCAGAGAATAAAGGGAGATTGAGCCAGGCACTGGTGACTCACACCTGTAATTCTAAGTACATAGGAGCCTGACAAAAGAAAGATTGCAGTTCTCGGCCAGTAAGACCCCTTCTCAGAATCACTAAATACAGTAGTGTATGCCTGTCATCCAAAGTTACATGAGAGGCCAAGATTGAGAGGATTGTGGTGCCAGGCCAGCCCAGGCAGAAAAGTCAACAAGACTCCATCTCCACAGAAGGCAAGTAGATTCTGTGGCAAATGCCTGTGATTCCGGTGATGATGAAAAGCCTAAAATTAGGTGGATTACTACTAAGGCATATGCCTGGGTAGGAAGAGAGACCCTATCCTAAAAATAACCCATGAAAAGCAGGTCTAGGGTCATCTCTCAGAGATGTCACGCCAGTTTCATCAAGGACTAGGCTCTAAGTTCAACCTTTAGTACTGCCAAAACAGCAGATGGGGACAGAGGGTAGTTGGTTCTTGGACAGTTGAGACTCTAGAAGTAGCAAGAGATTGTATTGTGGAAAAGTTTAAATAGCATGTTAAGACATTTAAATCATGTCCTGTAAGGACTCTTTACTTTTAAGAAAAAAGAAGTCAGCTGGGTGCCTGTGGCTCATGTCTATAATCTTAGGTATCAGGAGGCTAAAATCTGAGGATTGAAGTTCAAAGCCAGCCTAGGCAAGAAAGTCCATGAGACTCATCTCCAATTAACTACCAAAAAAGCTGGAAGTAAAGCCATGTCTCTAATGGTAGAGTGCTAGCATTGAGCAAAAAAAAGCTCAGGGATGGCACTCAGGCCGAGTTTATGCCCCAGAACCAGCAGTAAAATAGGAAAAAAAAGGAACTTGCCAAGTATGGTAGCAACTTGAACATAATTGCAGTACTCCAAAGACTGAGACAGGAGGATCCTGAGTTCAAGGCTAGTCGGAGCTTGCCACTCTGCCCCAAAGAAAAACAAAAGGCAAAGGAATCAATGTTTGTGATAAATAGCTAAGTGTTATTTATCCCCTACTGGGAAATATTAAACAAATAATAAGGACATCAACAGAAATCTGACAGGAAAATGAGGGACATACTTAATAGGTATTTAGAAGATAAATCAATTGAATTTAGGAGATGTGGTTATGAGATAGGTAATGTATGACACTGCCATTGGGATAGGAAAGAGGAAGAATAGTTAGAGTAGAAATAGAGAGTATAAAATGTTTGGAGCCAGGCGCCAGTGGCTCACACCTGTAATCCTAGCTACTCAGGAGGCTGAGATCTGAGGATTGCAGTTCAAAGCCAGCCAGGCAGGAAAGTCCTTGAGACTCTTATCTCCAGTAAACCACTAGAAAACCGGAAGTGGTGCTGTGGCTCAAGTGGTAGAGCACTGGCCTTGAGCTGACAGAGCTGAGGGACAGCACCCAGGCCCAGAGTTCAAGCCCCATGACTGACAAAAAAAAAAAAAAAGAATTTGGCTTTGGTGTGTTGGATTTAATGTAAATATAAGATCTCTAGCCAGCAAGCAGTTTTTGGTCTATTCAACTGGAAAATATTTTAAGTATAAAAATAACAGCTAGGGGCTGGGAAGGTGGCTCAGTGGTAGAGCGCTTGCCTTGCATGCCCGAGACCCTGGGTTCGATTCCCCAGCACCACATAAGCAAAAAGAAAAAAGCCGGAAGTGGCGCTATGGCTCAAGTGGTAGAGCACTAGCCTTGAGCCGAAGAGCTGAGGGACAGCGCCCAGGCCCAGAGTTCAGGCCCACCACCGGACCCCCCAAAAAAATAACAACTAACTTGCACCAGTGGCTCATGCCTGTAATCCTAGTTACTCAGGAGGCTGAGATCTGAGGATCCTGGTTCCAAACCTGCCCTGAGAAGAAAGCCTATAAGATTTTTTAAAAGCCAGAGGTGGAGCTGTGGCTCTAGTGGTAGAGTGCTAGCCTTGAGAAGGACCTCAGTGATAAAGCCTAGGCCTAGAGTTCAAGCCCCAAAAACAGTAAAAAAAAAAAAAAGTAAAACAACCTAAGATGTGGCTCTTTCCTTCCTTTAAGATGTCAAATGGCTCACATCTACAATCCTGGCTACTCAGGAGTCTGAGATCTAAGGTTCAAAGTGAGCTCAGGCAGAAAAGTCCTTGATACTCTTATCTCCAATAAATTACCAAAAAGTCTGGAAGTGGAACTCAAAGACAGAGCCCAGGTCCTGAGTTCAAGCCCCAGGACTGGCACCAAAAAAGATTTAAAGGAGATAGTATAAACTGAGCACTGATGGCTCATGCCTGTAATCCCAGCTTCTCAGGAGGCTGAAGTCTGAGGGTCACAGTTCAAACCAGCCTGGGCAGGAGAGTCTACAATGAGACTTATCTCCCACTAACTACCGAAAAAGCTGGAAGTAGAGCTACAGCTCAAGTGGTAGAGTACTAGCCTTGAGCAAAAGAAGCTCAGGGACAGCACCAAGGCCCTGAGTTCAAACCCTAGGACCCGCATCAAAACACCACCACCAAAAAAAAGTAGTTTAGAATAACAGGAAATCTAAAACAGATAAAAAGTGGTAATTGTGGTTTAACATGAAAACTGTTGTGGCAAACAACCACAAGATTTTTCTGGGACTTAGAGTGTGATGAGAAAGGGAATTGATTAGAGAAAAACCAAGCCAAAATGAATAGTAACTAGATAGATAAGAAAGCAAAGGAGGGCTGGGAAGGTGGCTCAGTGGTAGAGTGCTTGCCTTGCATGCATGAGGCCCTGGGTTCAATTCCTCAGCACCACATAAACAGAAAAGGCTGGAAGTGGTGCTGTGGCTCAAGTGGTAGAGCACTAGCCTTGATCTGAAGAGCTGAGGGACAGCACCCAGGCCCAGAGGTCAGGCCCCACGACTGACAAAAAAAAAAAGAAAAGAAAGAAAGCAAAGGATATTCTAGAGACCAGCAACAACACAATATCTAGGATCATAAAACACACTTAGAGAATACAAGTAGTCTGGTGTCAACTAGAGCATTTGACTGATGCATGTAATATCCACCATTCATGTAGTAGAAATGATTTAAAGAAGCAGGGTGCTGGTGGCTCACGCCTGTAATCCTAGCTACTCGAGGAGGCTGAGATCTGAGGATTGCAGTTTGAAGCTATCCTGGGCCAGAAAAATCCATGAAACTCCACTAAACTACTTGGAGAAACTGGAAGTGGTGCTGTGGCTCAAGTGGTAGAGCATTAGCCTTGAGCAGAAAGAACCTCAAGGACAGAGCCCAGGCCCTGAGTTCAAGCCCAAAGACTGGCATCAAAAAAGATTTAAAGAGTGCCAGACACTAGTGTCTCACACCTATAATCCTAGCTACTCAGGAAGCTGAGATCTGAGGGTCGCCCTTCAAAGACAGCCCAGGCAGGAAAGTCCATGAGACTCTTATCTCCAATTAACCACCAGAAAACTGGAAGTGGACCTGTGGCTCAAGTAGAGTATTCACCTTGAGCTGATAAGCTGAGGGACGGCCCACAGGCCCAGAGTTCAAGCCCCATGACCAAATAAAAACGTGTGTGTGTGTGTGTGTGTGTGTGTGTGTCTGTGTGTGTGTCTGTGTGTGTGTCTGTGTGTGTGTGTGTGTCTGTGTCTGTGTGTCTGTGTATTTAAATTTGAGATAGTATAAACTGGGCACTGATGGGTCATGCCTATAATCCTAGCTTCTCAGGAGTCTGAGATCTGGGGGTCACGGTTCAAAGTCAGCCTGTGCAGGAAAGTCTATAAGACTCTTATCCCATTAACTACAAAAAAGGCAGAAGTAGAGCTACAGCTCAAGTGGTAGAGCACTAACTTTGAGCAAAAAAGCTCAAGGAGGGCTGGGAAGGTGGCTCAGTGGTAGAGTGCTTGCCTTGCATGCCTGAGGCCCTAAGTTCGATTCCTCAGCACCACATAAGAAAAAAGAAAAAAAAGCCGGAAGTGGCGCTGTGGCTCAAGTGGTAGAGCACTAGCCTTGAGCTGAAGAGCCGAGGGACAGCACCCAGGCACAGAGTTCAGGCCTCACGACCGGACCCCTTCCCCCACCAAAAAAAAAAAGCTCAAGGACAGCACCCAAGTCCTGAGTTCAGGCCCCAGGACCAGCACAAAAAAAAGTGGTAGTAAAGACCAGATTATAAAGGATCTGAATGTTTTAGGCAGGGATTAAATGAGAGTAGCTTGATCTGATCTATCAGACTGGTGAAAATATAGGTGAATAATGCCCAGGGTTGGAAAGGTAAGAGGAAGAAAGACAGTCCCAAAGTTCTGATAATAATGTAAATTGATAAGGCAGGGTGGATGGGAGAGAAGTATAGCAATTTGTAATGGTACATTTTAAAAAGTTAATGTACATCCCCTTTGGCTCCATGATTCCTTATCTAGGAAGTTATTCTACAGAAATAATGGAATACCTTCATTAAGATGTTTGTATAAGGATATTTATTGCATCATTGTTTTTAATAGTGGAGAAGCTGGAAACAGTTTGAATGTCCTAATATGAGACTGTTAAAACAATCATGTTACAGCCGTACAGCAGAATACCTTGCTGCTATTGAAGTTATGCTATAGACTTCTGTTTATTGACACAGAAAGATGTTCATTATAATTATTAGTTAAAAAAAAATCGGATTCCTGAAGTATACGTAGAGTATCTCATTTGTAAATAAAACTGTTCTAAGCATCAGAAGTGCATAGAAAAAAATTGGAAAGTCACATACCAAAAGATTATCTCTGAATGATGGAGTTACTGATGACTTTTTTCTGATGTTCTAATTTTTTTAATCAGTGAACGAGCATTATCTGTGTGATTTTTTAAAAATAAAATTAAGAATAAACAAACAAACAATAAAGAGCACTCTGGCAGAAATGTGACGAGTTAACTGGAGGAGAAAAAGACTAGAGGCATGAAGACTTACAGGAACTAACATTAAAGGACTAAGCCCAGACAGGCAGAGTGGGGATGGAAATGAGATAGAGGCATGATAACATTGAAGAGAAAACCATCAGGATCTTTGACTAATTTCTGATACATAAGTGAATGACATTGTTAGCTGGTAGATGAAACAGGCTGTCAGAGAATTTTTGGTCATGCTAGCTGGCAGTGTGTGTCCTGCAGGTGTAGGAGAGTTACTTTCATTCAGGTTCTTGTGTATATGAAGTTGGAAAGTTGATGTTTTGGCACGGGATCATTTTTCTCTCAGGGTCTTGTAGAATAGTCCAGAACCAGTAACCTTAGTGTCCAGAGGAGGTGAGATGGGCTGATCCCTTGGTGGTGCTGAGAATGGGAATGGTTAGCTAGAGGGTGGTGCCCGAGCTTGAGAGATGACATGTTTCTCTTCTCAGTTATGGGAGCTATGAGGAGCCTGATCCCAAGTCGAACACCCAAGACACAAGCTTCAGCAGCATCGGTGGGTATGAGGTATCAGAGGAGGAAGAAGATGAGGAGGAAGAGCAGCGCTCTGGTCCAAGTGTACTAAGCCAGGTCCACCTGTCAGAGGACGAGGAGGACAGTGAGGATTTCCACTCCATTGCTGGGGACAGTGACTTGGACTCTGATGAATGAGGATTCCTTTGGGTCTCCTTAGTCAGCCTTCCTTGTTCTCCAGCCTAGGTGATTCACCTTTCCCCAATTTGTTATATTTGTACAATGTCTGATCCTGAAATTATAGATTTAACACTTTACTTTTAATAATAAGTAAATGATAATAATCACCTCTCCTGATCTTGTTGGGGCAGTGTCACCTATTGATTTAAAGCAACTTCCTTCCCCTTAGCACTAACAAAAAAAAAAGAAAGAAACCTTACTATTCTCCATTGCCATCCATGAATGCCATTTATTGATACTGGCATAATTTTTCCCTGAGGATGGAGAAGACATTATGAAAGAATAGTAAATAGTAACTATATCCTCCTGATGTATTAGAAGTCATCTAAGCATGGTGTCATTTCATTTTCTAATTTGCAAGCTGGAATAGGTGAGAGCCCTCCCCTCCCTCCTGCTAGAACAGAGAATTGGGTTTTGGTGAGCTCTATGCTACACTTAAAAACAATCCTATTGGACAAACTGTCCATTTATCTAGTTTGTTATTTACTTACGTGGTCATTCAATGCCTTGTTCCTAAATGGATTTGAGGCAAATAACTATACATTTTTTAAACAGTTTGTATATAAGAAATGATATGTTGCCATGTAAATGTGTTCTTATTCTTCCTCCCCCAGGGGAAAAGGTAGGAAAGTGGTGAGTTCCTTAGGGCAAAGACTTACCTTCTGTTTCTTCTCATTCTTAAGATATAGTTTTTGCAAAGAATCAGATGCTCAGTAATGTTTCCAGAATCATAAAATCCTCCAGAGATAACATTACTCAGTATCTGCTGCATGATAAGCACAATCAGACCTGTAGGATGCAAAAACACATGCCTTTTACCTGAAGAGCTCACCATCAAATTGGGGGAAGAGGGGTGGAATTCAAAATACATAAATAAATTATTACAGAACTGAGAGGTAAGTGCAACTTGGAAGCTAGCTGTAAAGTATAGGGGATAATAGAAGTATGATCCTATTTGAAAAGCCAGGGAAGGCTTTCTAGAGGAAATTTTTAGATGTTATTGAAGAACCAACTAGTACAAACTTGCCAGATGGAAAAGTCCAGGCAGAGTATATGATGGTGAAAAGGCCAAAATATAGAAATAACAGAGTGTGTTCGTAGTTTGTTTGTTTGTTCATTTGTACCTGCCTTGTTTCAGAAAGGATTTAGGTGACTTATGTTTTAATCTTTCAATGACTCAAGATGAGACTGAAAAATGTATAGGAAGCATATTGTCATGAGTTTTTATAATTAATATTATATAATGAGTGATAATGAAGGAATTTTATATTATGAGAATTGAAATCTAGTTGGAGTGACTTGTGTTTTAGAAATTTTCTGTGGATTAAGTGAATTGAGTCATGTAACAGACATAAATGATCCCATTTTGTAAAAGACAAGATCATGTGTTATATTCATGTATTTATATATGCTTGTGTATGCATAGAGAAAGGTATGAAAGGATATGTGCTAAATTGCTCACACAGATAACCTCTGGAAAATGAGAATGGAAGGAAGGTTATGTGGCTATATGTATATTGGGTAGGTATTGTGTTTTTATTTCTGTATTTGGATTTTATAAGTATGTATTATTTTGTAATAAAAAATTTTAATTCCAGCAATAGTGTGGATAATGGTTTGGAGGGAGGCAAATATAGTTCAAGAAAGGGGGAATGGATTCTGAAGTAGGGCTGTAACATTGGAATAGAGGAGGGGATGGATTTAAGTCTTCTTTAGAGAGAGTATGATGAACAGGACTTCATGACTCACTGGCATTTGAGGTAGAAAAAGAAATATGGGAGGTGGCTTCTAGAATTATAATTTGGAAGATTGGATTGGTCTATGATACTCATTCATTGATTTCAACTTTAACCACCTTTTTGTCTCACTGGGTATTACTGTTTAGCTCAGGCTAGCCTCAAACTTGTGATCCTCCTGCCTCAGGGATTACAGGTATGTACCACCAAGCTCCTATTAAACCATCTATTTTTGGTTTTGTATGTATATGTGTTTGTGTGGTGGTTTTGTGTGTGTAAGTGTGTACACGACATTCCTAGGGCTTGAACTGGGCCTGAACCATGAGCTGCTTTTGTTCAAAGCTAGCATTCTATCATTTGAGCCACAGCTCCACTTCTGGCTTTTAGTTATTGGAGATTAGAGTCTCATAGACTTACTTTCCTGCCTGGCTTCAAACTTAATCCTCAAATCTCAGCCTCCTGAGTAGCTAGAATTATAGGATTATAGACTACTGGCTCCTGGCTCAAATCATCTGTTTTTACCTAGCAGTCCAGCAACACATGCTAATACAGAAAATATAGTTTCTAATTGCAGTGAACTTAAGATCTCGAAGGAGTGAGATATTCATGCCTGAGCTTAATAAAAAGTGATCATTGGGGCTGAGAATGTGGCTTAGTGGTAAAGTGCTTACCTAGCATGCTTAAAGCCCTGGGTTTGATCCCAAGTACCACACAAACAGAAAAATCTGGAGGTGGTACTATGGCTCAAGTGGTGAAATGCTAGCTTTGAGCAAAAAGCTCAGGGACAGGGCTGGGAAGGTGGCTCAGTGGTAGAGCGCTTGCCTTGCATGCCTGAGGCCCTGGGTTCGATTCCTCAGCACCACATAAGCAAAAAGAAAAAA